GACTGATGCCCAAAAGGGAGGAAGGGAGGAAGGGAGGGAAGGAGGGAGGCCAGGTAGGTGTTCACGGATGAGGGGACAGGTGGATAAATGAATGGCGATGGGCGAATGAGTGAGAAAACGCACCCGAGTAGCCGAGAATACCTCTCAAGCAACAATGAATGAGTGCACAGCTGATGTGATGAGTGGGGGGGGGGGGGATCGATCTGGAGGGCCCTTGTCACATCTTGCACTTTCCCGGCGCGCTTCCACCCCGCGCCCCGCCCTTACCCTTCTCCGCAAACAACCGCCAAAGCCATCCGACCCGAGCCTACGGGTGGAAGGACGCCCCGAAGGACCCCGCGACCGCCTCACGTCACCGCCCGGCCCGTGACGTCCACGCCATTGACGTCACGCCGCCCATAGTTACTAGCAGCCGCCGCGTGTCACCCCATCAGCACACGACCTTTCGACGCCCTCCACGACCTACACCTGCATGGCGGGGTTATGCAGCCGCAGCGCCTCGGTGATCCATGGCCGCCCACACTCCGATCTCCAGCCGTTGTTAAGCCGCCTCCCCCCTCTCGGCTTCCTCAAAACGGCAACTCCCGCCCTTCCCACGCTCGCTCGCGAGGGAGGAACGGGCGGAGAGCATCGCCACTGGGTGTGACGACCGACCCTGCCGCTGCCGGGGGACTCGCTCCACCTTGCACTGAAGGATCGCCGCGGCTCGCAAAAAGACGCGCGACACAAAATTACTCTTCCACCCGAGGATGACAAACGCAATAACAGTAGAAAAAAAAACTGACGCCGATCATTAAGAACAATGAAAAAGCCACCATTCCCCAGGCAGTCGCAGAGCCGCCTAAACACCGCAACAGGAAGGTGAGGCGAAGGTCGAATCTCCCCCGAGAAAACCCCGCAGTTTGATCCCTCCGTGCCCGACCCGTCATCCCCATCATTTCCCTTCGTCACCCTTAACACTTAAGCGCGAATGAATGGACGGCGACGAGGGTGAAGTATCAACACATGCCCCTCGCCGCCCCCCACCGTGCCCCTCCTCCCCCGCCTCTTCTTCCTCCAACCGCCCCTCCTCCTCCTCCTCCACCTCTGCGCGGGCGGACCGACCGGCGAGCTCTCTAACGTTTGATCTCACGACAACACGTAACTAATAAAGCTAAAGGGCGGCGCAACGTGACTCGTAGCCGATGCGATGATTTACCTCTTTGTGCGCGCGAGAGAGCGAGCGAAAGGGGGAGGAAAACGGCAGAGAGCGCCGCGGGCCCCACACTCGTGCAAAGATGTACATAATATAACTCAACAAACACATGTTCAGCTCTAAATACACATGTAAATGGACGCGCAATTATGTGTACTACATGGACCAATAAGTTCAGCCCCAACCCGAGGTCCTTCGCAGCCAAACAACCTCAACCATCTCGACTGCCGAGGGTAGGCCGCGGCGGGCCAGGTCAAGGCAGGACAGGCCGCCAGGCGGGAAAGAAGGGAGACAAGAGGGAGGGAAAGGAGAGAGGGAGAAGAAACATGATGGAGGGGAAAGGGAGAGAGGGAGGAATGGAAAGAAAGGGGAGAGGAGAAATGAGAAGAAAGAAAGGGGGAGAGGGAGAGGGAGGGGAGAGGAGGGAATGAGAGGGAGAGAGGGAGGGAGAGAGAGAGAGAGAGAGAGAGAGAGAGAGAGAGAGAGAGAGAGAGAGAGAGAGAGAGAGAGAGAGAGAGAGAGAGAGAGAGAGAGAGGAGAGAGAGAGAAGGGGGGGGGGGGCAAACAGCCAGCCAGACTCGTGGTGGCGAGCGTGGGGGAAGGGGGCAGCAGCAGCAGCAGCAGCAGTAGCGGGGAGAGTGAGGGGTGCTGGGGATCAATACGGGGGAGAGTCCAGGGACAGGCACCCCCCACCACCCCCACCACCCATCCCCACCACTTCCACCAACACACAGGGACACTCACAGGAAGGTGGGCGAATGGACGGTCGGAGATACACGCACACGCACACGCACACGCACACGCACACGCAAAAAACACACACGCTTCCAGCCCTCGCCGAGCGAAACCCCTAACCGCTCTCCCATTCCCCCAAACCCGACCCGTCGTTAATGAGGCGGCGAAGATAAGGTCCAAGACGGTAATAATAATCAGTGTCCGCATCGCCCCTCGGTCAATAAAGCGTCGAGAGGAAATAAAGAACGTCGTCCCGGGCCTCCTCGGCGCGCGGCGGCCAGGGAGGAGGGAACGGGCCGAGGGAACGGCCGAGGGGAATGGAGGAGTAGTTATAAAGCCTAATGCGTGCGTAAAACTCTGCACTTTACAGCCCGCCGGTGGTCGCACATGTTTTCCGGTATCGTGATGCCTTTTCCCCCCCCTCGTGTATTGCACGTGCATTGGTCGCTCACTCAATGCATCATATTGCACGCGCGAGGGATCTTCTTCCTCTCATTCATTTATTCTCATTTCTCTTCTCTCTCTCTCTCTCTCTCTCTCTCTCTCTCTCTCTCTCTCTCTCTCTCTCTCTCTCTCTCTCTCTCTCTCACCAGCAAACCAGACCTGAGGGAATCGCAGGCTACGGAACAGATTAGCCGGGTCCCGTTCGCCTAATCCTCGGTGCGGATTCTGTGGCCAAGCACGCCGCGCGCCGATTGGAGGAACGAAAGGACAAACAGCAACTTCTTCTTCTTTTTATATTATTTTTTTCTTTAAGATGGGGTTTAAATCTGATGGCGGAATGGGACGGGAAGTGAAGCCACTCTTTCGACACGCTCCAGACATGAATGACGACCTTACATCACACGTCCGAAGAGGAATTTACAAGGCGGAGGAAGATGAGGAGGAGGGAAGAGAGCGAATGGGATAAGATGAGGAGGATGATTGAAGGGGAGGGGAGGGGAGGGGAGGGGGGAGGGGGGACAAGGAAGAGGGAAGGTGGGATATAGAGGGGGAGGGGAAGAGGAGGAAGAGCGGAACAGGGGGGGACAAAGAGGATGAAAAGGCGGAGGAGAACGCTAGGAAGAGGATAAGACGAATAAAATACTGAATGATAGAAGAAAGGAGGAAGAGAGAGATAAGAATGAAGAAAACAACAACGGAGACGGCGAGACAAAGGACAAGGAGAGAATGAGGGGGAGAACGGAACGAAAGGATAAAAAAAAAAAAAAAAAATCGAACGAAAGGAGAAAGACGAAGGTGGATGGATGAGAAAGAGCTAGTGTGGAGATTGCAGGGGGTGAATAGCAGCAGCAGCAGCAGCAGGAAGACTGTCTGGCCATGTATCATACCTTCCTAGGTTGAGTTATCAATCAATACTCCGCTCACAAGGGGTTCAAGGGACAAGAAAGCCTCGGTGCCACTTTGCTAAAACCTTCCGGCTAAACGTCGACAGGCATCAACACAGATAAAGGATCGCCTCTGCCGCATTTCCTCGGGTTTCATTATCATTCCCTTGCGAAGAGAGAAGAGGAGAGGAGAGGAGGGAGGAGAGAGGAGGGAGGAGGGAGGAGGGAGGGAGGAGGAGGGAGAGGGGGGAGACACACCGTGAAAGAAAAGAGAGAGGAAAAGAGGGGAGGGGAAAGAAGGGTAGGGAGATAGAGAGGGAATGGGAGTTGAGAGAGATAACAGAGAGAAGAGAGAGATGGAGAGGGAAGGACTTAATAGGGAGGGTAGATAAATGAGAGTGGGAAGAGTGAGTGAGGGGAAAAGAAGGCGAAAAAAGAGCAGAAACAGAGGGGCGAGTGTGAGAGGAAAGAGACAGAGAGAGGGAAGAGAACGAGCGTGGGGAGAAAAGAGGAGGAAGAGAGTAAGAGAGAGGAGGGAGGGCGAGGCGCGCATAAGCCAGCATAAGACGATCACAAGCAGGCCGGAGTGAATCCTTGCCGGACAGTTTATATCCTCCATCCTTCGTTCAAACATCTGACAAGAAGCTGGGGCAGGGGAGGGAGGGGGTGAGGAGCGAATGCCGGCACTGACGATGATGATATCTAACAGTGAAGACCGAAAAAGCGAAAACAGAGAGAAGGGAATGGGGGTATGATGAATCGGAAGATATGTTCTTGCTGTAAGACACACGGGTCAGGGATCTCTCTTCCACCCTTTCTTTTACTCCTTAAATTTTGGGGTCTCTTTCTGAAGCCAGGAGGCGAGGGAGGGGAGGGAAAGGGAAGGATAAACACGAGTAAGGCAAGGGGCGCAACAGTGCTACTTGACCAGCTCGTGCAATTCCTAAGATGTGATACGTCCGCGTCCGCAGATCGGCGCAATTCTCCCCTCCGCTCTTCCAACCACCACAAATAATCCCAATCGAGAGGTAAAACAAAGAGACAAAGAAAGAAGAAGCATCCCTTGTCCTCCTCCTGCTCCCCCCCCCCCCCAGAGAGCGCCTCCCTGACCCAGCGTTGCCACCCGTCCGCCTTCACTTCAAGCGGTGCCAATGTCAAGAATTCCCGGCGAGGCGGATCATAACCCCCTGCATCAGTGCACGCAGTTGCCAACCACCAGCTGGGATTGGGTGGATGGCGAGGGCTCGGGGGAGGGGGAGAGGGGAGGTGGCAATAGACAAACGAGAAGAAAACAAGTGAACAAAGAAGGGTGGCTGTGACTACGTGATTGCGGGAAGCAGGGTATAGAGTGGCCTATAGTCGTTATAACCCCTGCTAAGTATTCATGGCCAATTATTATCAAATCCAAATGTTATGACGTGGGCATAATGCCATCAACTGGCGCAAACTCGAGCTACATTAACACGAAATTGAACATTCCTTCGCGCCATTGTCATTCGTCATGCCCCTCTTCTAAATGTCAAAAAAGTTGGAATCGTAAAACCGACGATGCAAAATACAAGGCGGGGAAAAAAGACTTCAAAGCCAAAGACAAGGGGAAACCGGAAAGAACTAAGGCGGGGCAGGCCAGCCATGACACAAAACCAGAACCTACTGGGAAGACCCCCGCGGTAGGAGCCCCCCCGCCGCCCCTGACCCACCCGGCCCACCCAGGAAGAAGGCACCAAGACGCGTGTACTTACCACCGCTCTTGAGCAGCTCGGGCGCCAGCAGGTTGGTGAGGTCGGGATCGTCGCCGTACCAGAAGACCCAGAGCTCCTTGGGCGAGTGCCTGAGGGAGTGGCGGTGCTGGTGCTGCTGCTGCGCCTGGTGCTGTGTGGTGGGCATGGGCTCCTGGGGCACGCGCCAGGTCCTCCGCCATACGCACAGCACGTCGGCGGCCATCATGCGGGCGTAGGACACCAGCACGGGGTCCTCCAGGGGGTCAGCTGGTCCCCCTCCCCCCACTCCGCCACCGCCGCCGCCGCCACCGCCACCGCCGCCAGGGTTGTCCCAGGCGTACACTCGCCATTTTATTCCGCACAAGTCAGTCTGCAAATAAGGGAAAAACAAAAACACATTTAGTCACACGGGCCTTTGACACAAATCCGAAAATAATGTCACAAATCCAAACGCTTAAACATATTTGCTGTGACATTAATATCGCAGCTTGGACGAAGGACGACAGGTGGTTGAATGGGGACAGGAATGCGACGGGGGGAATACCCATGGCAGGTGAGAACAGGTGGGGATTGAGGGGGAGAAGAGGGGGGGAGGGGAAGAGGAGATGAAACGGTAGCGAAGAAGATGAAAACTGCAGTCTCGCAGGCACAGCGGATACCATAAAAAGTAGAGAGAAATAAAGAGAGAGGGTAAGAAAGGTGCTCGGCAACGCAGCTCTTACAATTTTTCCATTACCCCAACAATAATCCATCCCAACCCCATGCATCCCCTCCTCCCCTCCTCCCCTCCCCCCCCCTCGAAATCCTCACAAACCACCCCCAAACCTCAGTCAAAACCAACGGCGCGACTCGAGAAGCGTTGCGTAAGGCAAGACACGCCGCATGGTACAGCAAGCGTCAGCAGGTGTTAGGACAGGTGTTGCTACACACGCTCGTAATCAAGTCGCCTTGTTGAAGAACCCCGCGCCCCGCCCCCGCCCCCCCCCGCCCCCGCCCACACCCCATCGCCCCGCTCGCCTCGCCGTCGCCAGAACTCGCTCCACCCCGAGGCACCGTGCGCGGCGTCACACCTGGGGATACTCGCTGATTGGAACTGCAAGTTTTCAACTGCGAGTCGACTGTTCGAGGACACAAGAATCTTGCTATATGGAAACTCGGGAACTGACCGAAGTAATGGGGAAAAGTACTAGGAAATAATAACAGTGTTAAAGTCCTACTCCCCTTCCTATGTGTGTGTGTGTGTGTCTGTGTGTGTGTGTGTGTGGTTGTGTGTGTGTGTGTGTGTGTGTGTGTGTGTGTGTGTGTGTGTGTGTGTGTGTGTGTGTGTGTGTGTGTGTGTGTGTGTGTGTGGTTGTGTGTGTGTGTGTGTTGTGTGTGTGTGTGTGGTTGTGTGTGTGTGTGTGTGTGTGTGTGTGTGTGTGTGTGTGTGTTGTGTGTGGTGTGTGGTTGTGTGTGTGTGTGTGTGTGTGTGTGTTGTGTGTGTGTGTGTGTGTGTGTGTGTGTGTGTGTGGTGTGTGTGTGTGTGTGTGTGTGGTGTGTGTGTGTGTGTGTGTGTGTGTGTGTGTGTGTGTGTGTGTGTGTGTGTGTGTGTGTTGTGTGTGTGTGTGTGTGTGGTGTGTGTGTGTTGTGTGTGTGTGTGTGTGGTGTGTGTGTGTGTGTGGTGTGTGTGTGTGTGTGTTGTGTGTGTGTGTGTGTGTGTGTGTGTGTGTGTGTGTGTGTGTGTGTGTGTGTGTGTGTGTGTGTGTTGTGTGTGTGTGTGTGTGTGTGTGTGTGTGTGTGTGTGTGTGTGTGTGTGTGTGTGTGTGTGTGTGTGTGTGTGGTGTGTGTGTGTGTGTGTGTGTGTGTGTGTGTGTGTGTGTGTGTGTTGTGTGTGTGTGTGTGGTTGTGTGTGTGTGTGTGTTGTGTGTGTGTGTGTGGTGTGTGTGTGTGTGTGGTTGTGTGTGTGTGTGGTTGTGTGTGTGTGGTTGTGTGTGTGTGTGTGTGTGTGTGTGTGTGTGTGTGTGTGTGTGTGTGTGTGTGTGTGTGTGTGTGTGTGTGTGTGTGTGTGTGTGTGTGTGTGTGTGTGTTGTGTGTGTGTGTGTGTGTGTGTGTGTGTGTGTGTGTGTGTGTGTGTGTGTGTGTGTGTGTGTGTGTGTGTGTGTGTGTGTGTGTGTGTGTGTGTGTGTGTGTGTGTGTGTGTGTGGTGTGTGTGTGTGTGTGGTTGTGTGTGTGTGTGTGTTGTGTGTATGTGTGTGTGGTTGTGTGTGTGTGTGGTTTGTGTATGTGTGTGTGTGTGTGTGTGGTGTGTGTGTGTGTGTGTGTGTGTGGTGTGTGTGTGTGTGTGTGTGTGTGTGTGTGTGTGTGTGTGGTGTGTGTGTGTGTGTTTGTATGTACGTGTGCTTGCGTGTGCGCCCGCCCCTGTGTCTGAGGCGAAGCAACAAACGGATTCGGATATCCCGCCCGTCACCCCGCGACTATTGCCCCCCCCCCTCCCCGCCCTCGCACGTCATTCTCGACCTTGGCTCGTTCGCCCCCCCTCAACCTGGCCTGGGATCGTCTTCCTCCCCACCTGTTCCTTCTTCTCGCCTTCCTTCCACGCCCGTCGCGAATCCTTCCTCACCTCCCTCCCTCTCCTCACCTGCCACTCCATTCCCATTCCCATTCCCGGTTTCCTTTGGTCCTTCCGCCTCCCTCGTAACTCCCCGTAAAGCGTCTCGTCCGTCTCTCCTTCATACCTCTCCCTCCCTCCCTCCTTCCCCATCCCAAAGCTCTTACAACTCTGGGAGTCTGACGTCACTGCGCTCTCACGTGTGACGTCATCAAGCACACCGTGACGTAAGGCACTTCAGAGCCAGCTTGTGTGTGCGTCTGCTCCCGTTTTCTTTAATTTC